ATTTTTCTGTAGGTTTAAAGGGGCAATAAACACACATCAGTGGCAGCTGCTGCTCTCTGAAACTGGAGGCTCTATGGTGTTAATTAAATCCAAACATCACCTACTGCATTAAAAAATTGAAACACATAATACACATCACTACAATGCGTGAAATTAGCTGTTGTGAAGCGCTCTGAAATAATAAACTCCCAAAAACAACGGCAGGAGTTCAGAACCAGATGACTGATCTGACTGATAACTTTTCCCTCTTGAATCATGTGGAAAACCTCCTCGCTGTCTGACCGCTGTCAGTCATATGTCCTTGAATATGTTAGCCAATCAGCATCGAGCAGCTAGCTTCTCTATAGACCCCCTAAGAGGTTTAGCCTCACTGGAAATGACGTATTTTGGCTTGTTATCCAATCAGGGCTCTACGTTCTCGCTGTTACCTCAGTAGACGGAGGCTCAAACCTCAACAAGGTCCCTGCTGATTCAGCGCGGCCTCAACAGCTGATCAATGGTGGCATGCTCATGAAATCCGCCATATTTTAATGCATATTTAATGCAGTTTAATCAGCACAGTTATGAAGTCTGACAATGCATATTTTACCAATCATTTACTGGGGACTTTTGCCTCACTAGCATTCAATGAGAAAACACCACTGATTCACATGCATGCCACACTTTTCAGATTTCTATTTTTCAAAGAATTTTTAAAATCATGTATTTTTTTCTTAATTCACTTTATTTTGGTCCTTCAAAGCGGCTTTTAAAATGTTAGGGAATTGAATATTGTTTACAAATGTAAAGGTAAAAAAAACAAAGGATTGGTTATGTAGGTTTTTTTGCGCTCTATCTTGATTCCAGTACTACACGTTATCATATTTTTTAAAAATAGAAATTTAAAATAAGCAAAGATGACTCTTAGGTCTGTAAATGTTTGTGATCCCTCCTTGGCCTTTCACATAAAATACCTAGAAATGACAGATTGCAGTTTTAATGTTGCATCTTGCAGAAAAGCTTAAAGCTCTTTTGGAAGACTGCAGCCTGTTGGTTTGACTTTGGATGTTTTATTCCGGTTAAATGGAGAGAAAAGGCCAAGCATGGATATAATCTTTGATCTGCATGTTGGTCACTCGGTTCATATTCAGGGTACGATGTTTCCAAAAACATTCCAGATGCAAACTTTTTTATTTTGACGTGGATGGTAACATGTGCCCATCTTTAATCTACTGGATTACCTTTACAGGATATATTATCGTCCATTAGAATTCCTGCTGTTTACTGAATGTTGATTGATGCTCATGTAAAGCCACTTTATTTGCCTTGTTGCTGCTTCAGTCTGCAGAATAATGTTGCAACTCCACAGAAGGCTGGTTGTGCTTTATGTTTTTGGATGTTTAAACTTTCAGTGAAAATCCAGTATAGCTTCTTTATTCTGACGTTTAGCAGCTGATCATTTAAAGTTCCAGTTTTCAAGCCCTGTGTCTAGTCCCTGACTATAAAATGAGTTTCAGTTCATTTATATTCTGTTTCAGAGCAGGATATTAGTTTTTCTGTACATCATGGATCTGATGCAAAGTACAATGATAAGCCGCCCGTCTGTATCACCATCTTACTATTCTGTCGCCCTTCCCACGATTTGAAACTAACAAATATTCATTGTGATTCCAGAGAAGTGGCGTAGCGAGTCAGGTTTAATCTGGTTTAGGTTAAAGCAATGGTGCCCTTCCTCCACCTGTTGCTGCACATTGCAAATGTGCAAAAAAAAAAACATCCTTTTTGGTGGGTTGTTTTGGAAATATTTCCGCTTGAGAAAATCAAGAATAGTCGTGGCTTAGGAACCAAAGGACCATCAGTCATCACGATTATTACGTTAAAACTGCAGCATGGCTTCACTGGATGTTTTGCAAAAGATAATTTAGTTGAAACAGCAAAATGTCCAAGTCCAGTTTATTAGTTTTGTGGGTAAAATAAAGATTGTTCTAAAAATCTCTGAATATGAAGAGGTGTCCTTAAACTTTAGACTCTGTTCTGTAATTTATTTGAGACCCTTTGTTTGTTTACCGTCTAAAACTCTTAACATAATGAAAATCTGAGCTCAATATTTCCAGGAAAATGGAAAGTGAGGTTTCTAAAAACCTTTATTTTCCAAAATGAAAAAAAAAATCTTAGTTTCCTTTGAACTGATCAATTTTAGATAGAAGTGATTAAATAATTGTTTATTTTTTAATAAACTCCCAGTCAGCACCATCCTTTTGTCCAAACACCTTCTGGCTAATCTCCATTCCCTAAAAAGCACAATCAAAATGTAAATCCAGATGTAAGCAGCTTAAAATATCAAGCACTTAATAAAAGCTACACATGATTGTTTTGTTTTTTTTCTTCCTTTTTTTAGATAATAAGCAATATAGTCTGAATCCTGCCAAAACGTAATTTTACATGATGATGAGGAAAGCCCTAAAAATGGATAGTTCAGGAGGATCTCTGATAATTAAAAAAAAAGGCGTTTTACAGCTGAATATGTCGGTCAGATCCTTAGAGAGGGAGAAAGACGTTTGAGCTCCACGTCTCATCAGTGTCGTCTAATGAGACGTTTTTCATTATTTTCTTGAAAGATAATATGTCACACTGTTAAACTTTTCATTTCTTTTTATCTTCTGTGTTTTGAACGATTCAAAGTGAACAGATAAGTGTCCATGGCAGGAATACAAAAGACAAATGTGGCATTTTATGATTTCAGTCATCTTTTCTCCTGCTTAAGTAACAGAGACAGACATGGCCAGTGAGAAGCCTTATTCTATCTTATTCTATGTCTACTGATAGAAATTAAAGCTTAGAGTTACACTGCCTACATGTTAGAGAAAATCAAGAGCAAAGTTTACCGTTTTACAACATCGTTTTACCCACTAATATTTCATTTCCTTAACTAAATGTCTTCAGTGTATGGAACATCATCCAGGCATGGCATTGTTGGCAAACTCTGAAATGTATAATGATCTGTTTTGATGTTACATAAAAAAAATCTATCTCAAGATATCAGTAAAGTGAACAGCTACTGTAAAATAGTGCACTGAATGTGAATCATTTCCACTAAACTGTTTGGGAAAAATAATCTCCCACAGTAGCTCTTTAAAACGAGCAACATCCAGAGCCAGCAGTAGGTAGAAGTATTACTGAGGTAACTTCATGTTTCTTTGTTTTTAGCATCACATTTCAGGCAGGCGAAATGCTTAGTTCTTTCCTTCATGCTTCCTTTCTTCCAATTAGTCGTTAGATTCAGAGTTCAGTAGAAGCATTGTAGTCCTGATCTGTTTCTTTACAGAAATGAAATGTAGTAAACTGTCTTCTGTGTATCAAAGTCAACCTCAATTTTTCTTTTGAGCCTTTCATCTGGTTTTATCCTGTGGATTCCTGAGCTTCTCCTCCTGTGTGTTTAAATTGTTGGAAATCGGGACTTCTGAATCTTTTACTATGATATGCGAATGTTTAGTTTAGCTCAATAAGTGTCCTCTTTGATCAAATAAATGCCTATTTTCTTCCTTTTTATTCAGGCTGAAACATCTATGATAACCAGCTGTCTCATGACATCATTGAAACTTGACATATTTGTATACCTGTGTCTGTCCTGTCCCCAAATAAACTGACAGTGATGTCTACTCTGCTTTCTAGAGTTTGTTTGTTTTTATCATAATTAATTGTTTTTTCCTCTAGCATTAAACCACATAAAAAAATTAAAAAAGTTTAAAAAGTATCTGCTGGAAACTTTTGTCCTGGGTTCGTTTTAATCGATCTGGATAAGATCCATTAATTTGAGGCAGAAAATAAATTAACACTTGCAAAACATTGCTTTATCTGTACTGACTTTAGCCAACTTTATTTACAGTTAATCTAATATTTCAAATTAATTTATGATTGCATAGATTTGTATTTATGTAACAATATTATTTTGTACTAATGACCTAGATCCCGTGCTGGTTTTAGATCAAATTTACAAGTGGGTCATGAGTGAGGCCTTTTTTTTAGGGCACAGGACAAAAGAATAAATCACACACATGGAATAATACGTAAGAGCACATCATTGGGATTATTAGGTGATCCTCAAAGAAAATGTTCCAGATAAAATATTACATTTGTTCAAGGATTAAAACAGTGATTGACTCTTGTGTCAGCCCATATCATCGTAGGAAACTGATTTAATAATAACTGGAGAAAATGAAATACATGTATTTGCCCTTAATTTGAGTAAATAAACAATACAAGCTTCCACATAAATTAGTATCTTTGCCCTTTAAAATAAGATAAATAGATATATTAGATATTATGCACTTAAAGCTAAATTCATTTTTTTGTTTAAAAATAAATTATTTTATATCATTAGCAGATTTTTATAACTATATTTCCAAATCAAGAGAAAATACAGATATTAAAAACAAAATGACTAACTTATATTTGAAGTTTTGCATTATGTGTTTTCAGAAAAAGGGCCATAAAGGGACCAGGACCAGCTCTACAGAGGCTTTGGCCTTTATTGGCTCCTGTTTAGGACCACCATGCCATAATGGTATCCTGATAATATGCATTGGGTTTTTTCAAGTATAATTTTTCAATATAGCCCCGTAAGTAATGTAATATTTGTAATGGGTGGAGCAAATTTAGTTTTAATAATTTAAGAAGCTATTAAATTAAAGCTATTAAACTCCAATAGTATATAAAGGATTTTTGTAGATTGTAGGACATTAACTAACCACACGATGGCACTAGTGTATGTATTAAGTATACCAGCTAGTTAGTGAAGAAGAAATTAATATTTGTTTAAATATTTAATAATAACAGGAATAATTAGGAGGATTTAGTATTTGTAAAGTAATATTATGATATAGATATATAAATAAATAAATAAATAAATAAATAAATAAATAAATGTATCTTTATAAAAAGGCTCATTCTGATCCCATTCCTCACCAATTGGTGGCGGTAATGCGCCCCAAAACCGCCATTAAACGCAACAAGAGGACAAGACAAGAAGAAGAAAGGCTAGCAGCGAAGCCGCCTGCATCATCCGCCGACGGAGCCTGGAGGAACCGAGCAGGAGAACCGGAGAAAAATGGCGTTCACATTCGCGGCCTTTTGTTACATGCTCGCTTTGCTGCTCACGGCGGCGCTTATCTTTTTCGCTATTTGGCATGTAAGTACACATTTACAACCACTATAGTCCCGGCTTTCGTAGAGGAATTGAACAAACTAAGTAAACGTGGGGGTTGAAAATAAGGCCTGCCTGGTGGACACTTCAGTAACGGTTCCTGGTCGGGAGTCGCTCCCACCGAGACGTCGCAGGGTGTTAGCGCTAACTAAACCAAAGCACCTTAATTCCACACTTACTAAAGAAAAATGTCTGCCGCTGAATGAATGGTCCACCCCGTGTTCTACTGGGAATGAAAACTCGCCCACCATTACCGATAAATACCTTATTTTAAAACACCTATTTGATTTAAAGTGTTTTTCTCGCTGTTATTGTTCGTTTTAAACGTGTTATTACCTCAGAGGTTCTGTGAACCTGTCAAGCTCCATTTGCTAACTGCTATCAAGTTCGTTAGCATGCTAAGCTAATGTTTTCTACATATTTCTAATGCAGAAACACAATTTGTAAACCATGTTGTTATTCATTTGTAATGGCTGTCAAGTAGGAGTCACTAATAAATAAATTTGTGTAATGAAATTATTGATGGCACAGTTAGTGGTAGGTTATCTGAAGTTGGTGAAGCTTGAAGCTTAGAGTGAGAGGATCTTTGACCCTTCCTGTTATCAATCTGTTCAGGTAGAGAGCTGTGAGGAGGCTAAGATGGTCATTAAAGGAGGCTGACTAACTTTTCTTTGGATCAATATCCTGTAGAAAATCTTCTGGTATTTTATGGTTCCATGTATTTCAACAAGGTTCCTGTTGAAAGAGAAACAAACATGAGGTCCTTTTCCACACACTGAGTCTTTGTTTCTCACCAAACCCACAGGCTGAAACTTCATAAATCATAAATTGAATTTGAGTTGGCCTGACTAAATCTAGTTAGTCATTTGAAATAAAATGAATTAGTTTGAAGATATATTTCAGCAAATGTAAACTGGTTTTAATGGTTTGAAATTGGATTAATTTGCTTTTAAAATGTATTTAAAATTCAATCTGTTAAGTTTTACTTTTCAGTTGGAAAATGCAGTTTCTTGAGTCAAATGGGTCCACAGAATAATCAAACACAGATTTACGGATTGAAAGTTCCAATTTTATTAAACATTTATCACATTTTTTATCCGAAGTATTGTGAAAGCAGAACAACAGGGACACCGTGTTATTTCAGGCAGCTGTTACAGTTTGATTAAGTCCATTTTTTAAAAATAAACATGACAGTTCTTCTCTTTAATTATTTGCATTGTTAATTATATCTGCCAAGCTCATATAGACTTTTCTACTACAGCCTGAAAAGCGTCAACCCATTATCTATGGCTCAAATACCAAATTGTCTCGTCCACAAAATGATTTTTTTTTTAACTGAAGCTGAATTATAAAACTGAAAATAAATAAAAAAATAGATGCTTTGAATTTTCAATGCAACAAAATACATTTTCAGGACAAATTATATCAGTTTTAATTCATTAAATTCAGTTGCATTTCCAAATGAATGCATCTGGTTTCAAATTACATGAATTTAGATTAATTCAGATCTGGTTTCTGATGGGGATAAAAGTTATCGATTTATTCATTAATCTAAAGATGATTAATCTTATCGGGATTAGATGCGGCTCCACTACGCAGCACGACCGAATGGGCAGTACTTGGGTTATAACCTAAGGAGTCTATTGAGTTGAGCAAATTTGAATCCTTGAAGCATTAATCTGCAGTCATGAGTTGATGATTTGTTTACATCTCTAGTTTCAGATGCAAACGTTTCTGCCCATATAAATGCGCTGCCAGTGATTGTTGCTTAAAGCTAGTGTGTAATAATTACAGGGATCTACAGTCAGAAATGTAATATATTATACATAACTATGTTATTTATCATCATCTACGAGCTCAGCCTCTTAACCTT